GGCCTCATCAGCAGCGTGATTCAATCAGTCTTCATAGACTGTGCCGCGTCCACAGGCAGCGACAATCACAGCCCCGTCTCCTCCGATGTCCTTGAAATGAGCCCTGATTTAGGTCTGATTGTGTCCAACCTCCTGCCAGTATTTTTAATATTCTACTCAAGTAGTATTACATGATTGATGCAGTGGACAGAGGTGGACGTTGTTTTGAGCGGTTGTGGTGGAAATATGTGGGCGTGCGAAAGGAAAACAATGATTTCATTCTCAGATCCTCCAACCATTTACATTAATGAGAAATGTTTTTAAAAAAAGTTGTTTCCAGAGTAAAGTGACATATAAATTCAATTAACCTGGTGACTGCAGAAGAAGAAAACGGCAGCACGATTTCAGTGCAGTGTCAGAAAGGATGGGAGGCAGATATCGATTCCCACACAAAGATTGAAAAAGCGAACAAATCAATTCCTCCATCAATCTATCCATCAATCTTCTTAGAATGTTGCTTAACCTTTTTGTTCCTATTCTCCGCTAGTGCATCAGCCAAAAAATGAGTAAGTCAATAAGGATATTTCTGACATTGGAGAAGTCGTTACACCAATAATCCTAAAGTGATAAATTTTAATTAGCCTCTTGATCAGAACATTTAATTTCATTTACAAAAAGTAATTCACGTAGAATTAAAGGTGTGGTTAACATTCTAGAAACCAGATATTGGGCAGATATTATATTATATTATTATATATATCTGTGTTTACATGCTGTTTGGGTAAATAAATCTAGAAACGTCGAAAGGAAATGGCAACGTGTGCTAAATATTAGCATAAAACAGCTTCAAATAAGCTCAAGGTTAGCTAAATATAAACTAAACCAGGCAGAATGTTGACGCCAGATATAACATGGATAGAAGTGAAAAACCTCTTCAGCTGATTCACCAGAGAAGCTTCTGGAACAGTTAAATGTCCTACTCCACCATGAACGACTCACAGCTTAAAAAAGAAAAAAAAACTGCCGGTGTTTTAAAAGCAGTGTTTTTCATGTCACGACTACAAACAGTGGAGTGCGTGACATAATACCGTGTCTCTGTGTGTGTGAGTGTGTGACTCATCGTTAAAGCAGAGTTTGTCCTTCTTACTGCAGCACAGTTGGGTAACGGAGTGGATCTCATCTGTATTCAAGTCCCTGAATCTTTGGTTTATTCCTGTTTCTCGTGACGTCACCGTCACTGGTGAAAGTGATATTTTTGTTGCATATTAATATGTTTTCTGCTGTACTTTTGCCAAACTTTTTTTTTGCATTCACATTTGACTTAAATCTGCCTGCAGCACTGCACTGGACTGAAAACTAAAGTATAGCTAGTTAACTTTTATTTCCATAAACGGCCAACATTTGGCAAAGAGATCAGCGAAACCATCAGAAACCAAAAGAAACAGAAATAAGAAATAAGTCAACAATAGAGAATAGCTAATATTAATATTAACTAATATTTAGCTAAAAAAATATCCATACCATAATAATGACATAATGTAAACCAAGATTTAATCCAGTTCAGACTTTGGCCAAAATAGTTAAATGTTTGTCAAAGAATAAGATAGCTAACAAATAGCTATGAAAAAAAAATCTAAAAAAAAAAAAAAACATAAATCATAACAATGAGATAAGTTAAGAAAATGCACCTTGGTGGCTAAAAGTTAGCAAAATAAACATTAGCTCAGAAATAGCTTTTTGAAAATCAGGTAGCATATGTTGTTTTTAATGCATTCTTTAAAAAACAAAAACACTACGAGTCATTAGATTAGATAATGAACAGACACTATTTCTCTGTGAAACAATAGAACAATGGAGGAAAAACCAGCAGTGTGTGATTAACAGCTGTTAAAATCAGAGGTCAAACAGAAGAAACACACACTCATCACACTGAAAAAACCACACCAGGACGTGGACTCCACCAGAGATCTGATCGGGAACACCAGGCAGTGTGGGCTGGGTGTTAAACAGTGTACGATCCACTGACATTCTGGGTGGTGAGTCTAACTGTTGTTGTGAATTTTCACCTTTTTTTAAAAAAAACCACACTGTGACGTCAGGCAGCTCCTGCGTCACTGGACCAACATCCAACAGAATGTGAGGGTGGGATCGGGGGTCCTACTGCCTGTCAACTTACGTTTCTTTCTACGTCACACACCAGTCTGTCCTCTGTGTCCAACTGATGCACAGACAGAAATCCCTAGTTTGCTGCAGGCACCAGTGGAGACAAAGAAGTTTGATATCGAGTCTGAGCATCTGGACACCGTCCGAGAACATGAAGTGTCCGAATCTCTTCATCTGCTGCTGCTTCTAAATTTTATAAGAATTTAAGAGCCCACAAACTTAGTTTAGATTTTTTTTTTAAAAATTAGCCATTAGTTAATTAAAATCTCTAATCTATAAAGTCTCAATAGTGCCCCCCACAGGCAGCTCTGAAATCCACATTTGTTAGACATATTGTCTTCTATTTTAATATTTCTTATGAGTAATTCTGTGCAAGATTGAATAAAATATTTAAGACTATTATATTTATAGTGTCTTAAATATGCACAGCACCACATAGAGGAAGCAGGAAGTACTACAATAACTGTCTTCAAACTTATAATCTAGGCATTGATTATCAATTATTAGAAGAAAAAAAAGTTCTGACAACACAACTAGCAACACAACCCTCAGTCGAGCCTCGCTGACAACCTGTAAGGCAGAGATCCTCAACATGGGGTCTGAGGCCTCTGGAGGGGAGATAGGTGTATTCGAGGGCAGGGGGTCGTGAAAATATTTGATAGACTAGGATTCTGGTTAGAAAACACATCAAAGAAACCAGTTAATTTCTTCAAGGCCTATGAACCAATGATAGAAAGCAGCAGACAACACTGACTTAAAACAAATTATACAGGCAACGGGAAACTTCATGGAACAAATGGCGTCAAAAAGCAAAAAAAAAATAAAAATCACAAAACCAACAATGAACAATAAAAATATACAATATACAAAGGTAACAATGAAAAATAAAAATATACAATATACAAAGGTAAGTCCTTTACTGCCACAGCACCACATAGTGGCGATGGGCAGTCCAGCCAACCTTTTCCTTTTCGATTTTATTCATGAAACATCCCCAACCACTTTCACTGCCAACAACTGTGTGATGTATAGAACGTTCACCGGTTCAGATACTATAAAAACAACCCTTCAGGCCCTGGATGCCTACATCCATTTATCATGCTGCACTCCTTCATCTCCCATGAGACACCACTGTCAGTCTGAGGACACCTGAGGGGGAACCGACCCCAAAACACTCACCGCCTCCGACCCTGAAAATAGAGGTCGTACTGTATATACACGACTTCTTTTACATATTTTTACATCCCTGGCCTTGATTTCGCCCGTGCTTCGTAGCATTCCAAACTTTTGGCACGGCATAGGTAACGTGTGGAGTGCAGCCATCTTCCACAACATCACGACAAATCATAATCCTGCAGACGTGGTGTTCACGCTCCACCACCAGAGGCCGGTGGCTACATCAGAGCAGGCACAGTGAGGGGTATTTGCAGGATTTACCCCAGAATACATTAAAAAAAAAATCTGCCTCCACCTCTTCTGGGCTTTACACATGCAAGGCTATTACCCATCAGCCCCAGGTAAGTTGTTATCAGTGGCAGCCAGACGGAGAGCAGAGCAGCAGTATCTGCAGACTTGTTGATGGAGTGTAGCTGTGGTTGTGAAGAGGGTCTTAGCGGCCAGATTAGCATCTTTGACTTTTTTTTCTCTTTATTGTCATTGTCAGGGGCAATCTGGTGATGCTGATGTGGGCTGCTTGCTGCCGACTGCTCCAAGAGCGGTGTGTCCTAACATGTTGTACCATTTATTCCTTGTGTGTGTTTTATTCTGCGTCTGTTAAGGTTATCATGAAATTCACCTGACACTAGAGCAGAGGTTTGTGGATGTCCAGCCGCCAGATTGGTTGTGATCAAGGTTTTATTGAAATAATTGTTGTTCTCTGCCGTTTATGTGACAGTAGAACAGAACAGTAGTGTGTTGTAGAAATTACAACAGTGGCCCCTAGTGTCCTAAGATGACGAACAGCTCCATGTTTGTTACAGACAAGCAGAAAGTGCAGGAAGATTTAAAAAAAACACACATTAGATACAGAACAGTTACTGGTGCCAAGTCTACAGCCCCCACCTCAAATCTACCACAGGGGAGAAATGTCCTAAATGACCAACCTGACCCACTTTTTTAAAGATGGCGCAGGGTTGCATTCACTGCTGCTCACACTAACCATAACTATTTCATATATTTGCCAAATCTCAATCCTTACCTTTTTAATCAGAACAACAAACTAAATGTTGAACCTTAAAACATCCTCTCAGTCAGCCAACAACCAGCAATGCCCCCTCTAGGACAAAAATGTCCCCACAACAACAGAATCTCCATCTCTGTTATGACTCACTGATTCAGGGTTCACACAGACAATTATTTGATTTAAAAATAGTTTCATCTGCCAACTACATTTCACAGGGACATTTTAAGTTGATGTTTAAACCCACTGTCCAAAAATAAACTTTATAATAAACTTTTCTTCACCAATGCTGAGACCTCAGGCCACAAGTTTGACAAAACAACAACCAAAAGCTAGCTCCTTGGTCTGTAAACATTTACAATTCACTTAGAAAACGTCCTTATTAAGATTCAGCTGCTGTTTTAAAATACAAACAACACTCACCACAACAGGATTACAGTAAAAAATATGTGTTCTTGCTTGTTGTTAACACAGCTGAAATATATTTCAAACTTTTTTAGCAGCAATGTTGTTCTGGTATTTCTAGAGTTAGCGGTTAGCTTCTCCCAAAACAATGTAAGACTGTAGAAAGTTAACAAAAACTAAACAAAACAAAACAAAACAAACAAACAATCCTAAGTTTCTGATCCAGACCAAATTTAAAATAATTCAGCTAGTACTTTTATTAGTGTTTACTCACCTGAAAGTTTGAAATGTTGAGGGAGGGCTGGGCCCTCCATGAACTGCAGGTCCTCTCTATTGAGGCGGCCATTTTGGATCACCATGTCTTTACAGAGGCCCACAGGAGACAAACTAAATAACTTTAGCCTTTGAATGGTAGCTGTTTGGTAGTGTAGTTCTCCTTGACCTACATTAAGAAAAACGTTTTTCAAATCACATTTCTGCATAAATAAAGAGAAAAAAGAGAAAATAGAATAAAAAATACAAACAGAAAAATACAAATGGAGGGCAGATGCCAATGTACAGTTATAATGGGGCATGAAAAAACATATTTTTATTAGTTTTTGTTTGTTTTGTTTTTTTTACTTTTTTGAACTCTTTACTTCTGTTGTACAGTGACGCTGCGGTTTCTTGTCATTTCTGGTTATACTGGTTTTCTGAGCAAAACTAATCAGCTGTCCTTGGAGACCCAGACTTTTTTTCCTGCTTTGTCTCCTGCTGAGACGCCTTCAAGGCCCGAGGGAAAAGCTAATACAAGCTGAGTGAACTAAGCTCATCATTGGTTATCCTAAAATACACTCTGTAACTGTAAAAAACTACAATTATAATCACTTGTTTTAAAACGAAAGCTACTTAACGTTCCCTGTAGAGTGGTTCAATCTAAAGTTTATTATTATAATTATAATCTTTTGCTACCTTACCATCTCCCTATTATGAAAAAAAGTTTTCATATTATGCAAAAACGTTATCACAGAATCCTTAAATTATGAGTCAAAAGAACAAAAGACAAAAAAAGACAACAAAATGCTACATATTTTTAATCAGATTTATTTTATTTAAATTCAAGTCAATTAACAAAAATGTTTATTATAACTGCTCAGTGCAAGAACATCCAGATGCTCTTTTTTGTGAAGGTCACATCCTATTAGGACACACTGGAGGAGGGAGGAGGAAGAAGAGGAGAAAGAGGAGTAGGAGGAAGGCGGGGGCGTCAGCCACTTCTGCAATGACACGGCATCTGCATTCAGGAAAAGACAGAAAATGGAGTCCCAGCTGGCCTCACATCAGTGTGAGTCAAAAGGCCGGGGGAGGAGAAGGGGGAGGCTTCAAGCTCGATTAGTCGCACGTCGTCTTTTTCTGGCTGCAGTCGTTAGCAGCAAATTCACAGCTGTCATACCGGTGCATCGGCAGGTACAGGGTTTGTTTCACCGCAGGTTTGACGTGGAGAATAATAAAATATCTTATCAATGAATTGGATAATCGATTAGTTTTAACAAAGAACAGAGAACAAAAGTGAGACAGTGGTTCAGGGTGTTGACATAAATCCTGGTCTCTTCTTGTAACCTGAAATATCTCTACTAGAATTTTACTTGAAGGTATAAAGAGGCCACAATGTCCTTATGGTATTTTCCAAAATAAAAAAACTGTTATAATAAGGAATAGTCTACAACCCAGGTATCTAGACCAAAGTCAATGTTTTATTGGGGTAATAATAATAATTATTATTAATATTGTTATTATAAAGGGACACCAATAGAGGGTATGTAAATTTTAATAACTAAAAAAATAGATATGTGATGTGTTTATAGTTAGAGGTGATGGAGAAAGGGCCAAACGGAGTGGAGATAAGCAGAGATTTGTCCTGTGAAGCTGCTGACAGTGACAGTGTCTGCTGTGAAGATAAACAGCAGCTATAATGGCTGCACACCAGCAATTTGTCAGCGCGTGTGAAAGACAAACACCATAGTGAGGTGACAATGACACCGACCATCACCGGAGGGTCTTTCACTTCCTTCAGTGCAAACAGAACAGCGATGCAAATGGTTTCCGACTAGATTGAAACGAACTTCTCTTCAGGGTTTATTCAAGATTACTTTTATCAGCGGGAAGTTTAAATTTTAAACATTTACATCATTTATATTTAAATAACTTCCACATGTCGATAACGTCACAACCATGTCAGAAATGGACATTGCACCATTTTGAATCAATTTTTTTTTAAATAGAGTGCTGATTTGTGAGAAACAGTGCAGTGAGCAAACACTGCCATCTGGTGGAGATTTGTAACTTGTTTTTACCATATAATATCTTAAATATTAACTCGATAACTTCTTTCAACTATTTAGTGCATATTTACATAATTTATATGTAATTTGGACAATTATTAAATAAATCTACATGCTACACAAGCATTAAAAGGTGTTTGTGTTTTAAAAAATAAACACATAGCTAATGCCATGTGTATCATCACAGCTAAAAGGTAGCTCAAAAATTGATAAAACTTACTGTATATCAGATTAAAGCCTCTTTAGCTTCGAGTCCAGCAGCTGAGACCAAAGAAAGTCTTTTTTGGGTACAAGTGTTTCCGAGTCCTTTAAACCTGATCAAGCTCAACCTATCAAAATGCTGTCTGCAGCGACACCCAGCGGCTGCATGTGAGAGTGCGACAGCCTGGGCCTCTTCCCAGAGATGGGCAGCAGCTCTCCGTTGGCTTTCATGTGATCTATTCTCCTGGACAGGTCTGAATCGCTGTCGATGGCCAGAGTGCACCTCTGAGCGTAGCTGACCAGAGTTTCCTCCCCATGACGGAACGTCCCCACCAGGGGCACCATGTCTTTCCCAGCCAGGTGTAGCTCGGCGATGGACGCAGTGTTGGCAATGGTGTTGCGGTCGATTCCCAGGTGTCGAAAGGCTTCGCTCATGCTCTTCTTCTTGATGTAGGCCGACAAGACCTGTCTGTAGCGATGGATGACGTACTGGACACCGGTAGCTGAAAAAGAAACAAACATTTTATCATTAATGGCCACAAGAGGGCACCTGTACACCCATGACAACTGAATGCTACTGATGCACCTTTGAAAATATAACTACTTGTCCATTTAGTCATTATACATTTGGCCTGGTCTGTGTGTGAATGGATGTTCATTTGTTCGTTCTGCTCCACAACAGTTCGTTCTGCTCCATAAAAATAAAAAAAACTTGTTATACTGCAGTACAAGTACTACATTCTGACCTCTCTTCCTGGTGTAGTCTTTTCCTTTCTTGGACTTCTTCCTGTCCTTGTGGTGTTTCTTCTTCCTGTGTTCACTGGACGCTGCTGAAACTTCAGAAGAATCTGAGTCTTCGGAGCCGCTGTTGCTCCTGTCAGAGGAACTGGACGAAGCTCGCTCTCTTTTCCTGGACTTGCTGTCTGAGTGCTGCACCTTACTGGGTTTGGGAACTACTGCAAAAAATAAAAATCAACAAAGTTTTAGTTTGTTTTGTTTTTGTTTTTTTTAGGACACGGTACGAGCTGTGACCTCTGACCTTCCGTCACTGGACTCGGGGAGGCAAACGCTGGTACCGAGCGGACGCTGGTGAGGTTTTCGATCTGGTTCCTCAGGAACTTTCGGTCCTGCATCAGGTCTTCCACCTGTCGCTCCAGAGCTGCGATGCGCTCCTGTTTGCTCTCCAACATGCACTGCAGCCTGGTGATGGTCAGCAGCACACGAGGAGGAAGGTTTTCCAAATGTGAGGCTGGAAAAGTGAAAGGAAAAAAAAAGTTTCTTTACCTTTGGTTTACATTTTACATCTGATAAATGTTGCCTTTGTAAGACGTTCTTAGATGAAACTCGGTTCGAAACCCATACTTGTTAAAAAATTAAATATTCCCTCCACCTGACATGGCACTGCTGGGTGTGTTGTCCTGAACTGAGTCTGCAGACGTTCCTGACTGGAAGCTCTCCCACTTGATGACATGTAGGTCATCGTGCTCCTGCTTCAGCCAGGCCGGAGAGTGAAGCCGGTCCTTGGACTTCACAGAGCTGGAGTCGATCTCTATGCAGGGAGAATAACTGGACTGCCACAGAGACGACATCTCACCACACCTGGGAAATGTTTAAAACATTTCTGGTTTCCAAACGTGATATAATCGTGAAAAGTATAATCAAAAAGTATATTCTTGTCTTTTGTTGTCATTATCGATAATGTACGTCTACCTGTTCGTGTCTTTTTTTACACAACATGGCCAAAAACGTGATGCATCATGGGTAATAACAATTATCGGGAAAACCATCTATTATGAGATCTGGATCTAGTCATTAGGAGATAAAGATCTTATAATTATAAAATGCTACACCAAAACTAAGCATCACAGAAGTCATAATTATATGATAAAACAGCCTCTTTGTTTTAGCTCCGTGGGAGAGTGGATCTGCTGAAGCTGAAGTAAAAACAAAGACTTGTTTTGTTACTTGATTTTGCCTGAACTACAGTCCATTCAACACTGAAACACAGCAAATATTTAATGAAGAATTGATGAGTCGCCAATAACTGTCAATCCCCTCAGTCTATCAGTGTGAGTTGATTGGCTTAAATGTGTCGATGACAGCAGTTCAAATCAGTGACATATTCAAGCTGGAGTTGTAATAAAAGTCTAATCACGAAGCTGTGATAATCCACACCTTTGAACCAGATGTTGTTCTATGTTAAAGTCCCACCGTCTGGTTAGAAACAGGAAGTTGACTGACGGTTAGAGTGTAATGGTTAACTCAGGTGAACGTTGAGACGCCACAAACACTGTGATAAATCCATATTCATATGTATGTTACTGTTCAATATTCGTAGGGATTATTTATTAATATTTTATACCATTTATATGTACAAACCTTGGAATACAGCAGTCATAATAAGACTGATGTTACTGTGATGCAGAAAACCCATTCATTTCAGTATAGAGTGGTTTTAATTGGCTGAGATTGAATCTAATGACTGTAAATACCCGGATAGACGAGGGAGATTTAGCAACAACAACCAAACATACAGAGAAAACAGCAAAACACCGACCTTTAAGACAGTCCAGTCAACGGCACTGATGCTGGAGATGATCCCGTGTGAGTGTGTGTGGACGCTGACTTCTGTATTTGTCTAAAAACACGGTTTGTCATGAAAATAAACACGCGTGAGCAGGGCAGAACCGAAGGTAATGAGATACATGTCTCCGACAGGGGGCGGGGCCGCCGGCTGGAGCTGGTGCATTCAGGACCTCGAAATAAAATTCGGTGTTATCACCACTATGTAATTATATGGGTTTTGTACGGGTTTGTGTTCATATAGTATTTTCTTTGTGTATTGATTGAGTTTTTACTATCACTCCATGGACGTAGTCTCTGTGGCGCAATCGGTTAGCGCGTTCGGCTGTTAACCGAAAGGTTGGTGGTTCGAGTCCACCCAGGGACGGCTTAATCTTTTAAACTTGCACAACGTGAAATTATAAGATCTTATCGATTAAATGTTGTCATTTAATCAAATGAAAATATATATAATAAATATATATAATTACACTGCAGGACAGATTTGGCCCCTGTGCCTGAGTTTGACACAGTGATTTGGGGGGGGGGAAATCCTGGTTTCTGGTGTTGGATCTGAGGACTTGGTGGATTCAGATCACATTCACATCAAAATTTGTCGATTGTCATAAGGGTGACTTTTAATGTGTTAAAATTCAGCTTTAACCTAGTTATAATAAACTATAATGGCAGCTGGATGCAGTATATGTGAACAGTACGGAGACCTGGTGAGGACAAAATCTGTTTTTACCTTTTTCCGACAGGTGAAAGTTGAAACAGGACCAGACGTTATAGGATGTCACAGGCAACTTTATTTGCATGTAAACTAAAAATCTTTGGCTATGCAGAGAAGCAAATAGAAGCTAATGATAATACTGTGACTACGGTGATGGTGGGCTGCAGTTACAGTACTGTATGTATCTGCCAAGGACGGTGCAAAACACTGAACATCTTTACTGGTACTTTAGTGAATCACAGCTGCCATGTAGAGACTGAAATAACACAGACATGATGAAGACGGTTCTAGATTCTTTCATGACTCTCCGCAGTTACTCTCTGACCTAGATAAATGGTGCTATATATTAAAACACTCTACTTGTTAGTCTTAAAATACAAAAAAATATATATATAACAAAATGAGGTTTACATGGATTTGTCAAGTTTCTTGTATTATTTTAGTGGGAAATACCTCGAGGTGTAACGTAAATTAATATAGTTTTTATACTTATGAGTTAATAAAATATAGACTATAATCTGGAGACTTTATCGGATAATCCATTCGCATCACGTTAAACATTATCCTTCATCAACACTTCATCATCATTTCTTCATCTGCTGTAACAAACTTTCACATTCCTTCACTTTTGAAAAAGCTTCAGGCCACATGTTGGGATTGCATTAGAGTTAACATTTAAAATATCACAGTCACTGAGGTCAGGACGTGGAGGGTGAAGGACGACGGCCCGGGGCACAAAAAAAAAAGTACCGTTCAAAAATAAATAAATAAAGTATACGGTGCTTTGATCCGAGTCTGAAACAACCTCAGCTCCATCAGCCAATCAGAGACCAGGTCAGTGCAACATCAGCCACATGGCTCGACTGTAAACCTGCTGTGCAAAATGTTATTTAACCATTATTTAACCATTAAAGCTAGTTATGAAATCTGTAAGGTTGCCCTCTAATGGTTATTGAAGAGAATGCAACTTTCCGACACTGCTGAGATGTATTCTGTTCTGAGATGATTCTTTGAGTGTGACTTTGGCTGATTGCTGTTTCAGTTGTCGACATGTACTTACCGATTTTTTTTTATTTTTTTTTAGTCTGTGGTGATTACAAATCTGTCAGCCCGGTGTAAATGCTAGTAAAGTTTAAATGTTAAAAACTAACTAGGAAATGGGCAGTGATTGACAGGTACCATGGTTAAACTCTGGTAATGTCTAAGTAAAGGAACTGAGTTAAAATTAGTAAAAAAGTTAAAAACGGAGTCAGACACAGTGAGTGTGACTCAGACTTTGGGCCAAGTGGGCGTCATCACTTCCACCCTCCTGCTCCAGACAAAATGCCACATACACAGACCGAGTTAGTGTTAGTTTGCTTGTCAGGAAACTACAGCTGCTTCAGTGGCATATGGCCAGCAGGAGGCGCTTGAAGTCACCGCTGCATTCGTCCTTCAGGGCTTCCTTCAGAGACACATCGTACTTCTCCAGATACATGTCTTTGACAGTCTCCAGGTCGTACTGTTGAGGACAGGAAGGTCAGACAGAACTAGTCAGAAGTAACTCATCTAAGATCTAACAAAAGTGACCTTAGAATACTTAATAAAGAACTAACTGACTGATAACTGAGGTAACATTTAAGAATGATTTCAGTTTAGCAGCTGTAGAATTCAACATTGCAGTATTTAAAGTGTGTCATTACCTCAGAGCGACACACGATGATGCGTATGAGTGTGTCCTCGTCGGTGCCTGCTCCTTTCATTGCGTCATGAAGACGTCTGGCAAAGTAGAGCTGGGGATTCTTAGCCACTCTCACTGTGAGGTGGGGAGAAAAGGTCGCCCATTACTGTACATCCCACCTGCTTCATTCAAAGTACTATGAAAGTAAACAAGCTCCACACACGCAGTGAAGTACATTTAACAACCCTGTACCCTGGAGCTAGCACACAAAAATCAACTCGTAAACATCCTGCACTGCTTTTTTTTAACATGTGTTCACCGGCTGACAGGATTGAAAGTTTTAATGTTGTATAATAAACATAAACATCTGTCATTTCAAAAGATTTAATGTGTATTTTTCTTAACTAACCCAGAGCTTTGTAGCACTTTTTCAGAGTCCCAGATGTCTCACTTTCAATGGCATCCAGGATTTCAGTTCCAGAGAGCTGAGGAGACACAAACACATGCTTTATATATTTCCAGTGAACCACAGTTTAGTTGCAGCAAAGACTGCAGTCCCAGCCGTGTTAGGTGATCCACGGTATCACTAATGATCAGTGTGACACCAGAGACGGACCTGCTCGTATATCTTGAACATGACCTGCAGCTGCAGGTAGTTTCTGGATGCCAGGATGTGGGTGAAAGTGGACTCATCTGTTCCGAAACAACCTTCACCTGCCTGCAGCACAAAAGACATGTTATGAGTTGACAAAAACACCTTAGAGTTTGTAGTGATTTCTGTGACATCATTTGAAAAAGTGTTTACCTCAAACAGAGCTGTTGCATCCTGTTCTGCCAGATCCTCGTCCACTTCATACGACTCATCTCTGGTCCCCTGAAAGATTTTTTTTTTACTTTATTTTACTTATATTACAATTTTTTAAATTTTTAAATAAAAAAAAAAAGTTTTTTAAAGGTGATGCAGATAAATGCCAGTCACTCATTTTGGGACAGATTTTTGTAAAACTTTTCAGCTTTACTCCATTGTTACTTATTAAGGGCTGTCAGGTTTTACTAATAATATGCTAATATACTAATATACAGTATATGATGACTGAACCTCAAAGTGGTCCAGATAAAGTTAGCGCAGACATAATGAGGTCACTGCTGAGAAACAGCTATAATGTACATTAGCTTGAAGTTACAAGAAAGTTGGTCAAAATTAACAAAAAAAAGGGACAGGAAAAAATAGGTCATAGTAAGCAATGATATAGCAAAAAAAATTGCCAGATTCCAATTATAAAAATCAGAGTAATAAAACACAAACATTGTAATTTTTTTAATTTAAGAAGAAAAAATAAGTCATGGGTCAAATAAAAGCTGAGGCATTATTTTTATCCTGAGAACAGTCTTAGATAAATACTGCTGTATAGTGAAGATTATCTGTCTGACTGAAGCAGCTGAGTCTTGCCTATGTGTGTGTGTGTGTGTGTGTGTGTGGAGGCTACCACAAATAGTTTGGCAGCAGGAGCCTGAGCTTGATTTCAGTGCAGAGTTCAGTTTCAGGAGTGCAGTGAAGTGGCTCACCTGCAGGAGGGCAGTGAGGAGGTTCCTGACTTCTCCACTCGTATCTCCTTCAATGTCGGCCTCCAGGTCACGTTCATGCACTGGGGACGAAGCACAACGCCAACAAAAACAGATGAATTAAAGACAGATGTGCTAATTTCACACTGTTGGTCACTGAGAGCTAGAGTCGGGTCTCTTTAAATGAAACAAAAACAGAAATGAAAGGATTACACCTCAGATTTCCTCTCAAATAGAAAATACAGATAAGTAAACATTCTGGTAAACATCATCTTTGGTTCATAACAAGGAAGTTCTGACAAGATGGGCCTTGACTAAACAGAGCATGAGTGTGTGTCACAAGACTGAATGGATATGAATTAACTTTAATGAGTCACTGTGAGAAGTTTCCTGTGTGACACGAAGCAAAATGGTGGCCAAAAGATTGAATGGTCCAGAATCAGATCTGGTTTGGATATAACGTAGATGTAATGTCTGTTTTTGCATGCTTTGTTGTTTTGCTAACTCACCCTGAAAGTAGCATTCCTTGAACATAGCGATATCCTGTTAAAAAATTCAAAGACAGCAAATAAAGTACGTCAATTTTTCACACTAATTGATTAAATTTGTTATAAACAGATCAATAACGTGAACTCACAGCGTTGGTGGCCGTGCAGAGGATTTCCACCAGGACGTCCTCATCGGTGCCTGCTCCCTTCATGGCCTTCCTCAGCTCCTTCACAGCATAGATGACAGGGGGGTCCAACATGGCCAGGATGGCCTTCTCAAAGTTTCCGGACAACTCCTTCTTCAGCACCTCCACCAACTCCTGCTGGGAGGGAGAATTTTAACAAGACGGCAAACATAAACTCTGTATCTCACCAGCAGAGGGCGCCTCTAAAACAGCTAATCTTCTAACATACTCAAAATAGTTCCATTCATTTGAATTTTCCTGTCCCTAATGGCGCCGCCCATGTAGTAGCATGTGATCTGCAACCATGTAGTTAATAGTGCCTCTTGTGGCAGTCTTTGTCGGTCCTTTTAGTTCATTCCTGGATCTATTCATAGCTAATTATAACCCAACAAAATGATTATAATATAATTATAACCCAACAAAATGAGTGACCAGTGTCACCTATGCTTCAGACAGTTCTTGGTTTCTATTAAGTGTAGGTTTCGAGTAAAACTTACATCATCATATTTATCAAAATAGGCCTGTTTTATTTCCTGACGCTGAGCTGCACTGCGATCGGCCAGGATGTCAATGATGGCCTGCTCGTCTGTTCCTGGAGAGAAAAAAAACACAAACACAGTGTAAAGTCCCAGTGAAAACAGTATAAGTTACAGATAAAACAATTATTACGCCCACATTCCCAACTTACCAAAGCCTTTGCAGGCTTTACGGATGGCCTTAATGTCAGCCACCACGTCAAAGTCCTCACAAGGAAAGATTGTTGGCTGAAAAAGACAGGAACATAATCACCAACCGGACAAGAAAACTCAAAAACAGCTTGATCACTACACTGATCTACTGGGGGTTGGACTGCAGATATGGAGAGTCCAGTAGGATTCATTAAGGCCACGGAGGAGAGCAGCAGCTGCTAGTTTTAATGGGGGATGGGAGAACTATAATGACACAATGCTGCGGCCCAGGAATTCGGAGCTGCAGCTCTTTAAACAAACTTGGAGGGGGCCGTGTGTGAAAGTCGGCCATAATCAAAGAGGGGGGCTTAAATGGACTACATCAGAAGAGCATATTTCACAGTGACTTTTCTGCCACAGTGAAATGTCTTTCAGTGTTTTTGTTTTTATTTGGCTCACGTTAAGGAATATGTGTTGTTATATTTTGGCTAATTTCAACTTTATTTGACCTAAATTCAGCTTTGTTTTTGCCAATTTCTAAACTGAACTTCAAAATATCTGTCAGAAACTCTTAGCAATATCATGGCTAACTTTTAATGCTATTTCTATCCCTTCCCCATCAAAACATGTAGCTAACTGTTATGTATGTATGGCATGTTACTACTTTAGTTCACTTTAACAAGTAACTACAGAAATATCATCTGTGTACTTTTGGTTTATTTGTAACTTACAGTATATATAGGCTTATTGTTAGCAACGTCTGAACCACTTTAAGGCATTTTAAAAATATTTTAGATGAGTTTTTTTTTACCTTAACTTGCAGTTATACTTTAACAAAGCTTTAAACCCATAAACATTAGTTTTTCTGTGATGTATTACCCAGAAGGACGAATGTATTTGAAAACAAAATGGCGACAGTTATGGGGGCCATGAACGCTAGCAAAAATAGTAAAAGTATGTTTTAAGTTAGCATTTAAATGCGTAGAGGGGGTTTTCAGACACGTTTTTATAATGTTAATTCATATCACTTCAAAAAAATATTTTACCACCCAAAGCTAAATACTTTAGTAAGAACCCTAAAAAAACAAAGTCGTGCTGTTTTCCTTTCTGGTCTGGTCCAGTATACTTTACGTCACATATTCGGACGTAAAAAGCGTAAAGCATTTTCCTCCTCCATTCTTGGCTCTCGTCTTACCTACCTCTTCCCCTGACACTGAACTGCTTTCATCCATTCTAGTGAGCAGCAGTGAAACCTCTCACTCCTGTGTAACGGAGCTGTGATGATGAATTCCGCAGGGGAGTGGCCCGGGTCCTCTGCGTAAAAAACACCGCCGCAGTTTTTGTCTGTCATACCGTGACATTTTGTGACATTCGTGTCGTCTGTACTACCGAAAGAACCTTAACCGAAACACCACCAACTCATGTAAAACCCAAATACTTATTTCTCTAATTATTCTAATTTATTTTGATTTTTAAATGAGTTGCGCAGTAAATGCTATCGATTAAAACCAAAGCGGAGGCTGGGCAGCTTTTACACACAGTCGATTGGAATAAAAACGGATAGATTTACACTTTTTTATTTTTGTAGAATATATTCATGATTAAGACTATTTAACGTGATCACGATCTGTGACAAGATGTTTTGAAAACCTGTCATCGCTCCTGTTGAGATTTGACCCTCATTCATTTCCACATTTCTTATTTCTATAACGTATATAGCGGTTTTCCCGTCTGTAAAACACCTCCTTTATTCACTTACTTGACAGTTTCCCATGTCGTGTTCGTAAATGTGCAGCTGCTGGTTGATCACTTGCTGGAACCTTGTCCGAAAGGAGATTGAGTCCAAAGTGCGGCCCAGAGCAGCAGTAGCAGCAGCCTGTGACGTCACCACGGCCGTGTTAACCATTTCCATCCTGACGCACAGTCCCGTGATAGTGAAGATGCTGAAACCAGGGTTCCCGTCAGTTTTGTGTCACTGAAGGAGAACGACGTTACAGATTATTTTTCTCTTAATGTTTAAAAAAAAGATAATCCATAAAAAAAACTTAGATTAAACCAAGAAATCCCTCTTAATGTTAAAAAAAAAAAAATCCAGAAAAAAACTTAGATTAAACCAAGAAATCTTGTGAGGAGCTGGGTTATTCTTTAAAGTTAACTTTTTAATGATAAACACACTGGTCTACAGTCACAGTTAAAGCAAACGTATCTCAAATATATACGGAAAACTAAACCAATAGTTAATATAATTTTATTCTCGAAAAGTATGAAAATCTTAATTTTCAGGTGTCATTATTCAGTCGTACTGTGTATTTACCAACTCGGAGCTGATGCTCATTACTTTACTGTCTTTGTATAACTGTCCCTGCATCATAATTATACTGCTGCTGATAATGATGAAGAGGATGATGAAGAACATGATGCTCGGTGGTGTTGACCTCCACCACCAGGATCTCAGTCTGTAACAACACCAAGTACATGCTCAGCGTCTGCATAAACAGCAGTAATTAAGAGCCCGTCGACGTCACACTAACAAAAGCAGGTAATTTAAGAGCGAGTGAGTCATACAGTGTGTCTTCGATCCCTGTAATTACCTCCAGACTACCTGCTGTAGAAGAGCAGCTCAATCAGAAAAAAAAACCACTTTCTGGACAATTTAAAGTTAACATTTTAAAACTGCAGTTAACGAATGTGTTTTTATTTAAAAGTTAAACTCGGGAGAATAAAGAGGCCGTCAGTGAGTCCAAACATCACAGTGACTGTTGTTACTGTCTGTATTTTCCCTACGATGAAATGATTAATGAAGACGTCTCTAAAATTATCCTATAGGCCAACAGAGGGCGCTGCTCTACCGCAAGAGTACTTCATTGTGTAACTGAGAGCTAAGACTGAATAATACTGTTCTTTAAAATTTAAATTTTTGGAATTTCCCTTGTCTTATATTAAAGTAGTTCAGTAGAATGTATTTGTCTATCAGAAAAAAATTCAAAATATATTTTTGTTGGTCAATCTAAAGCTATGCCTTTATGCTGTGGGTACAGTGAAAACAAAACATATCTTACCACCACCTTGTGGTCACATCAGCTAACTACAAGTTTTTCACCGTGAATAAATGCTCATCTTTGTCGTAGGTACAGCCTAGATGTTCCTCTCAGTGAGGCCCAGGCACTTCAGCTTTGGGAGGGTGACGCAAAACTGGCAGCAAAAAGGTCAAATCATAATTTACGTTGGTTTTTACAGCAGGTTCATCATCGACACCAGAGACTGCTGCAGCACAAACCCCGAGCCCCAAGGCCAGGACGCCGGTGAGTCACAGGCTCACCGACGTGTGTGTGAAGGCTGAAGCCAGTGTTCACTCCGTGGAGTGGGGAAAAAAGCTTTTCCTTTGACGTCATCTGTCTTAATCACTCAATTACAGCAATTTCCAGAAGGCATGTGTGCCTTAAATGTAGCGTTTGTGCCTGCAGGTAGAGAGCAGGCAGATGATTGATGGGTCTCTCTCTGTCTTTCTCTCTCTCTCTCCCTCTCTCCATCATCATCCACACGCACAAACATATGAATGTGTGCGCCAACCTTGACTATTACAAATATATTCTAATCTTTACTTTAACTCTAATCTGATCCTAATTCTAATCCTGACTCTAAATTAAATATTTACCCTCAAAATACAAAAATATATCTCCACAATTGTCACAAAAACATTGCCTCTGGGTCGTGGTACCTTTTGGCCTCATTGTAAGAATTGTTGGCCTACTTCAGAAATATTTAAAAAAAATATATTTTCTGTTGGTTTTTGTGTTTATTGACGGAGTCTTTTTACAAATGGCAGAGAAGCGTACTGTGACAGCAACAAGAGGAGGAACTTCTCAGACAAATGGTGTTCACCCAGCCCACGGAGCTGTGGTCCACCTCCTAATTGGGAGAGATGTCACCGGGCCGAGAACCGCGGCCCAGACGATTCATCAGCTCACAGAACGGAACATTCTCCACTTCTGTACCCCCTCGGGTTGTTTTGATTGGTTTCAAACATCTGGTTCAGAAAGTTCAGCCCTAAATACTAATCCAATAAATTCTAATCAATATCCCCGACGTCTGGAGCAGAGAGAATTCCCTGTAAAAAAAATAAAAAATAAGTGTAGTCTCATGTAAAGTCATCTCCGTTGCTGGAGTTACTGTTTTTTTTTTATGTAATATTGGCTCATTAATCTTTAATGGACTTAAAGAAGGGGGAGCTGAAGGGGGAGGGAGCGTGGGAGGAGGAGGAGGAGGAGCTGTGTAATTGAGGACATCTTGAGTTTCAGTAACACTAATAAGAGCATAGATTACCAATAATCGGCCAGAAATACTCGTGTGTGTCTTGTGTGCTTTAAGACACGGCCATTTATCTAAAGTTGGTCGTCCAATAATATCACAGGAGCCAAACAATGGTCCTGGTCCTGTCAGGGCCGCGGTGAAAAATTACCCATTAGCCTTTGGGTTTTATGCTAATGATCTGCATCAGCAGGAGTCACGACGGAGGGTTCTGTTTAAAATAAGAACGTTCGATTAGGATCAAATGGCGCGGTGGCTGATGCTGTCACCTCATTGGTCAACAATTTGATTATCAGTTCATCTGACAACACGTGGTTATGGGTTCACTTTCCGCCTTCCTTTTCAGACAAATCAATTACTAATTGATGATTGACAGTTTGTCTAAACACAGTATAAAAGTAACTGTGACTTTTGTCTGCGTTTGAATGCGGTTTGTTTCCGTCTCTCCCGATGTCACACTGGGACATGAAATCACTCATTTTCTGACCCATTTATTACCTCACCCATGAGTGGGTGAGAGAGGGAACCGTCCCTGGACGCTGCATCACAGATGTGTTAATGTGTGGATGATCTGTCGGTTGTGGAGGTGGTGGGTAGTTAGTGATGGCTACGGTAACTCAAGGCTCTCTGTGAGTCACGGATCCTCACATCACCACCAGGGGGGGTTCCTCTGACGATGGAGCCGCGGGTGATGATGGGGAAAGATGTGTAGGAGTGGGTGGATTCAGAGGAGGACGGAGGAGTGCGATGTGTGTGGTGGTGGTAATGACGTCAGCAAACAGGGAGTGTAGTTTCAACACTGCAATCAGTCATTATTTACTGCAGTCGACATAAGTTACAGTTTCAGCTGAAGTGAGGCTGAGTTAGGAAATGTATTTTAGTTAGGCTGTTTTTTTTTAATTTTTTTTAAATTAAATTAAAGTGGAAAGAAATATATAAATGTAAAAAAAAGTCCAGAAATACCCAAAACTTGCTAAAAAAAATTTTGCTAAAAGTTTTGTTAAATGTTAGCATAGTTGTATCAAAAACAAGTTAGACACAGAAAAGTAGACACTCAAACATAAACGTGCACCTGTTGAGCTTCAGAAGCCCACTCCCCCCTCCCTCACCCCTTCCTCCCCCGGGCACACAGTCTCTTGTATGAGTCATAAACACCACGGCCACCGCTCACGAGTCCAACACGACACATCCTGTCGTCTCCCACTCCTCACCCCCGTCTCCACCCACCACCTCGTCCCTACCTCTGAAAGGCCGATGAGTCAGCGGCGGAGCTGCTCTCCTGGTCTCTGGCCTCCACTCCTTCATGTGCGGCAGCCTTCCTGCTCATTAGCCGCGGCCGGTCGTCGCCTCTGCCCACACGGACTCACCACAAAAGGCTGTGATTCAGGGAGCGCTCACCGTCTGAGCCTCACAGGTGGACGTCTCCTGTCCTGTCTGTCCTCAGAGACACCGTCACCAGCAGGGGAGAGAGGGACAAACTGTTTTAACTACAGAATGAATCCTGTCGCTCATTTAAACAGGACACTAAGAGTGTATGGTGGTGCCATCGTTTGCAGCAACTCTGCCCCCTGCTGGTGTTCAAGTGAATTCAATTTTTTTGATCAGGCTAATCACTCCTAGCTGTAGCTGTGGATTCATCTGATTAATCCCATTGCATTAACAATTAATCATGATTATTTGAGATGAGCCAACATTCCTAAATAAATGGCTAAGTACGCTACTCTTTGTGTATATTGCTATATCAGAAAACAATGGAATATATACTGTATATATATGTATACATAAACATATACATAGACACACAGGAAACTGTAGCTGTAACTCACACTCCCTCCCCCGGCCTCGTCACCTCCGGCCTCTGTGGGTGAGATATTTTCAGAATTAGTTTTGATTCTGTTTCTTGGTTCCTCCTCCTGTCTCACCCCTAGTCTCCCCTCCAGTTCCTCACCTCCTCATTGGTGAAATTTCTCCACCTGTGTCTTGTTAACGCCTGCACCCGTCACCTCCCCTCCGTCACCTCCACGTCCACATTAAAGGTTTTCCGTCCACCTGTGAGCATTTGTTTCATTAGTATTGGAGTCTGAACGATTTGTAGTAATTTAAAAATTAAACATAAAAAAACAGTAAATGGAAATTACTGGGTTCTTTTTAAAGAAAGTAAATAAAAATGAATTATTTCACTGCGGCCCAGTACCAAATGAGCCACGGACCACCTACAGGTCCACATACCATGGGTTGAAGACCCCATAATCTAATGCTGTCGCTTTAAAACTTTTACCACAAGAACGAAGTGCTACATTCAGTGTTACTGACCCCTGTGGTTCACAGCCTGTACTGCAGCACAGAGCACTTTTTCAGACAGACAGATATTGTTTTGTCTTTTTCTCGGTCCGTTTCCGTCTCCGCTGCTGCCCTGCTCCACTTCCCTGCAGCAGCCACACGTTATTGATCATCCGTGTATTAGCCCAGCTCTCAAAGTGCTCTCGTGAACTGGAATCAATGCTAACATGTTTGCTTTGCACAACAGCCCATATGCGGCGTTATTCTGCCGCATCGCTGCCCGCTGTAGAGATTTGTCCGCGGCGTCTCAGGTGAAGCTCATTTGGGAGATTTAATTGG